GAGGATTGTAGTCTAAATCTAGCCTTTTTGATGTCTGAAACAGGCTGAAAATTTTACAATTGACATTTAAATATGTTATTCTTTCTTCTGACTGAGCTTAAAATGAGTTTTATTTAGTGAGTATTCACACTCACTAACATGATGATCTAAACTGATTTTAATACATTTGTTCTGGTCTACAAATGTGTTGAAGGTATAAAAATAGGTAAAATCTACATCTTTAACCACAGAAGACTCTCTGTGGATAAAATATTTCACCAGATTTTTCAAGAGAAAGTGAAAGTATGTTTGTTGGTGTGACAAAGACTAGTTTTGTATTAAATGCTGATCTCTTAAGAGGCTCCAGTCACACAAACATTTATCCTATATTTCCACCTTTGCAAGTTATACTAGTGACTTTCTGAATTAGACATCTGATTTAATTTYCCATTGGTAATGAGCTATTTATAATCTTCATTATTACTGTTTTTCTTTTAATGCTGATAAATCAGCACAAGATACAGAAGAAAATAGATGGATGGATGTGTTAGGGTGTTATAGGTCTATCTTTTGAGGTTGGTTTTTGTTTCCCAGTATTTTCTTTGATATGTAAGCTTTTTTTGTTTGTTTTGGTTATTCTTTTTATTTTAAGCTTTGTAAGTTTTTTTTGTAGTTGATAGTTGAAAAAACAGTGTTTTAATCATGCAAATAATGAATCTATGTTAAAATTATGTTTCTGCTTGCATCCTTTGTGTGGTTAGATAAAAGGCCTCTCTAAAACCAAGCTCCCGGACTGAATTTTAAACCCAGCCCGCCCCTGCAGATAGATATGGATAAGAACGGTGTTTGKAGAAGAGATACAGGAGTGACTAACGGATTATTGAAGAAGGTTTTGCAATTTCATATCAAATTGTACACTGTGCTGCAGCAGTTTTCACTCAGGTACATTCTTGTAAAGTTGTTTTCTGCGGTTTGTTGAGCTTCTTGTTTGGCATGTGTCATTGGAACAACAAAGATGTATTTTTTGCCTTCAATAACTTAAGGTACAACTTAAACTATCAAACAATTTCTGCTTCATTCTACTAATGCTCTAGCACATAAATATTAGAATAACCATGAAATAAACATTTGAAACTAATAAATGTTCAAAACATTTGTCTTAACAGGTCTAACACTGGAAACATTATAGACAAACCCAAACTGTGTTTTGACTTTTTTGTTCTAAATCCAGAGCTTACATTGTTGGAAAAGGAAAGAGCTGGTGTAGTGGCAAAGAGAACCACTGTCGAGATGGAAAATGATGAGGAGACATCRATATGGCCAGCAAGAGGGAGTTTTATTGATTCCAGTCAGTAACACGCTTCAACCGACAGTACAGACCTTCCAAACTGAACTGACGCATTTAGAAAACCATAACCTTTTATACCCCAGTTGTTTATGATAATACAAAGCCAGGAAGGATGGACCTTTCCCAGAACTGGGCTGGAAATTCAACACCAACCAATACACACTTATTGTGAGCTACTGATGATGTCAACTTTTCCAGAATATTCAACAAGTTGTTTTTGTGACCCCTTATTCTGACCTTCTGTACTCTTAAAGTTACTGCTAAAAGCCTCAACAATCCTCCCTTTTTGAGTATAACTCAAACTAAGNACACACACACACACACACACACACACACACACACACACACACACACACACACACACACACACACACACACACTCTCCGCACGCGTGAGAAATGCGGACATTCACAAAAGTGAATCTTTTATAACACATCCACACTGGCAAGGGCGCGTACACCGAAAGCGTGACTATAACCGTGCTTTTTGCTGTTGTGCTTCTTTGAAATGTCTCTTCTCAGGGAGGGGTCTGTGGGTCAGGGTCATGAGGAGGAAGGAGATGGATGGAGATGTATGAACTTTTATTTAAGATTTAAGTATTTTATTTCAAAGATCATTATGGCTCAGCAGCAGAAGCATAAATTATACTGTTAAGAAAGTTAAAAAAAAAAGAAAGCTAAAGTCTATCTAAAATCTAAGTCTGATTATGAAGGTAAATTACATTTCTGACAGTGATCATTACACAGTGTGGCTCTAATTCCTCACTTCACCATCTGTGTCGCAGCTTCCCATCTCCAAAATGAGCGTACGTATGGGTCAGAGCTGGCTAAGGGACCGCACATTTTTACGTCAAGTTTGGATTTTAAAAATCACAACCGTGGCATGAAAAGTGGCATACAAATTTTTTGTGCATACGCAAGCTTTATAAATCCGACCCCTGGTCGAACATCTCCACTTGTGTTCAGTCTGCCCTGTTTCAGGATGAAAAACCTCTCTGACCCTGCCAATCTCAAGGTGGTTGTGATGACTGTGATAAACTGCACTCATCTCTCAAACATCTGTATCAACCTCTGCCAATGAAGTTTCTTCTTCTCTTCCAGGTGTTGAAGAGCAGCAAGAGAGTCCAGAGAGTCTCAGGATTGTTCTGATTGGGAAGACAGGCTGCGGGAAGAGCTCCTCAGGAAACACCATTCTGGGTCAAGATGAGTTCAAAGCCGATGGCATCCAGATATCTGTCACCAAACAGTGTCAGAAAGCTCAGGGTGAGGTGGACGGTCGGTCCGTCACTGTGGTCGACACTCCAGGACTGTTTGACACGACAATGTCTAATGAAGAAGTTACCGAGGAGATTACAAAGTGCATCAGTCTGCTGGCTCCAGGACCTCATGTCTTCCTGTTGGTGCTACAGATCGGCAGGTTCACTGAAGAGGAGAAAGATACTTTAAAACTCGTGAAGCGAGTCTTTGGAAAGATGTCCGAAAAGTTCACCATCATTCTTTTCACTAAAGGAGATTCTTTAGAGCATCACTCAATGTCTGTGGAGGACTACATCGACACAGGTGAGGAATTCATCAAGAACCTGATCGATGACTGTGGAGGAAGGTACCACGTGTTCAATAACTACGACAAACCCAACAGACTGAAGCAGGTCACACAGCTGATAGACAAGATCGATACCATGGTGAAGAAAAATGGAGGAAGMTGCTTCACTAATCAGATGCTGCGAGAAGCTGAGGAAGCCATCAAGAAAGAAGTGGAGAAAATCCTGAAACGTAAGGAAGACGACTTGCAGCGAGATCTGGCACAAGTTAAAAGACAAAAGGAGAAAGAAGTGAATGAGATGAAAATCAAAATGAAGGAAGAAAAGGGAAAATTAGAAGAAGTGAGGGAACGAAGACTGAAACTTCTGCAACAACTGGAGACAAAAATCACTGACGAGAGTGAAAAGGCAAAGAGAGAACAAGAGAAGAGAGAAGAAGAAGATCAGAAGAAGAAGAAACAGGAAGCTGCAGAAGAAGAAGAGTTTGAGAAAAAACTGAGTGATATACAGGAAAAAATTAATTTTAAATCAGGTTCACAGAAAGGTTATATGCAGCACCGTAAAGAATGTTTGTACAAACAACAAAACAACTGGAAGAAAGAACAGAATGAATACTGGGACAGAAGGAAGAATGAGAATGAAAACACAGGAAAGGAGGCTGAATCCAAACTGAAACAGCTTCAGATGGAGTACGATCAGATAAAGGAGACATTTGAAAAGGATGAACTAAATGAAGATGAAACTCTGAGAGAGTTGGAGGACAATTATGAGAGAAAAGCTCAGGAGATAATAAAGAAGTATGAAAAAGATGCTCGAGACAAAGCTGAAGAGTTTAATGACTTCAGATGGAAATACAACAAATTTTTTGCAGGTTTGATGGAGGAACACCGGGAGGAAAGCCAGGTTTTGGAAGAAAAACACAAGAAACAAATCAAAGAGAGAGAAAAATCCAACAGAGAGTATGAAGTGTTGGACGACCTGCTGAAATACAAAGAAGAAATTTTAAAAGAACAACTCAGACTGAAAGAAGAACAACTGAAAGAAGAACAACTGAAACAAACTGAGGCTTTAAAGGAAACACAGAGAAGAGAAAACAGTCACATGGAGGAGAAATACCCCAATAAATGTCAAATCCTTTAAAAGCCTCAAATATAAAACAGACTGAATCTGTCCTGGATCAGCTGAAGACATGAAAACTGAAACGCTCTGATTTCTTCTCTTTAATATTTTATGATTCTGATCTTCTTCAGAAAGCTTCAATCAAGTATGTCCAGTGGAGCACAAGATATTTTACTAACACAGACATGGGAAAAACATTACCCCTTTTTACTAAACACAGATGGAATCAATCCATTCATTCATGAGTCCATCTATTCATCCATCCATCCATCCATCATCCATCCATCCATCCATCTATCCATCCATCCATTCATCTATCCATCCATCCATTCATCTATCCATCCATCCATT